AAAAAAGATAGAAACAGAGAGAGAGAGAGAGAGACAAACCTGATGAAAGAAAGAGAGAGAGAGAGAGAGAGAGACAGAGACAGAGAGAGAGCGAGCGAGCGAGCGAGCGAGAGAGTGAGAGAAGGGCCAAGGGCAGATATGACGATGCACAAGCAGCTGCGCAGGTTTCACTCTAGGTAACACCGAGGCACTTGCTCCATTTCAGGATTGTGGACATGCCTTCCACCGTGTACCATCCCCGCTTGCGGTGCGCAGTTGACGTGTTCACCCTTTCAGATGTCTTTGTCACCCGGCTCACGAAGCAGTCCTGCCGCTAGAGCACACACAAGACTAGGAGTTTCGGTAAGCACATGAAATGGGATGTTGAAACACAAGAACCATGTAAAGCAATCTAGGCCAGGAAGTCACAAGTGAAGCTAAACCCGGACCCGATCCCACCTTGTTCCAGTCTGCAGCTTCCAGCTCAGCCAACAAGGCCTTACGAACATCACCTCCCTTTGCCCAGCGGTCATGCACCTCCTGGGGCACATTGATCTTGCCAGAGGGTTTCACCTCACACAGTCTCCGCAGCCTGTTGTCTTTGGCTGCCTGAAAGGGGAGCATTATAACTGAAGCAAGCCACTCAAGCGATAGGAGACATGAACACAAACTGCCTATATCAACTTGAAACCACACAACAGAAGCAAATGCATGAAGCTGTGCATGCATGGCATTACATGTATGATGGTATGCATGTATGTACATAGGTGTGTAGGTGTGTATGTATGTATGTATGTATGTATGTATGTATGTAGGTATGTAGGTATGTAGGTATACATGCATACATGTGTGCTTGTTTTGTGAAGATCCACACACCTCTGTCGTCGGAGCAGCTTTCTCCTGAGGCGGCTTCTTCGCCCTTTGATTCGAAGAGCTCGCAGGCGAGAACCGAAGCTTCAGAGCTTCCACTTCCTGACATTTCAGCCCCCTAAACCCTAGCAAGGGAGTTTGGTGACTCAAATAAAGCATTCAAGGGACCGCTTGCAGCTTTCGGATCATGTCATCCTTTGGGTCTGCCGTACTCTTGCCCTTGACCCGACGCAAGGCTGTCGGCGAAGTTGCTGGCGCTGGAGACACAGGCTTCACAAAAGTAGGGCCACAGGCTTTCTGCGGAGTTGCCAGGACCCTTGCGGGGGTGGGCTTCGCAGCACTGGGGGTCTTCTTTTCAGCAGCACTTCCGGTCGGGGTAGCAGTTCTCGGGGCTCTGGCTTGGGTCGAGGTAGGAGCTTTGGCTTGGGCCGAGGTAGGAGTTCTGGCTTGGGCCGAGGTAGGAGTTCTGGCTCCGCTCACGGTAGCAGTTCTGGCTTGGGTCGGAGTAGCAGTTGTGGCTCGGGTCGGAGTAGCAGTTGCGGCTCGGCTCGGGGTGGCAGTCTTGGTTCGGCAAGGAGTAGGAACTGGTCGTGCTGGGAGTGGCTCTGCAGGCTTCGAGGCTTTGCCCTTTGCAGCAGTTCGCCTTATCTTGGCTGGCTGTTCCACTGCTGGGGATGGGGGTGCTTCATCCTCCTCCTCCTGTTCCTCAACTTCATATTCATCTTCATTATCGTCTTCTCCTCCCTCATCGTCCTCCTCCTGATCTTCTAGTTCCTGATCATCATCATCAATCTCATCATCACCTTCACCTTCCTGATCTGCTTCGTCCTCTTCATCAGGAGCCACTTCCTCGGGAATGGCTTCTAGTCCAGCTTCTTTGGCTGTCTCGTCAGTCTTGGAACCCTGAGATAAACAAAGCTGTGGAGCTGTGGAAGGCTATGCATGTAGCAATAGAATTAGTAGTTCGACGACACATGAGATATGTAGCAACTATACACATCAACCATGACCAGATCAGAGCCCAGCTGCTCGCATCCTCCTCAGTGATGTGAGCTGCTCTTTGAGCGCCTGGAAGTCGAAACCAGAAATAAATGTGGTACCAGCATAGTGGCTATCATGTTTTCTGTTTAGACACATCAACACCAGCCCCTGACCTTGATGTTGTCTTCCAACTCATTATCATCCATTGTCTCTTGCTTCGCACGAACCACTGAGTCGGCTCCATCATGTAGCTCCGAGCAGCTAAACTGCCGGGACTTCAAGAGTCTTCTTGCCATGAGGCAAGCTCTAAAGAAACCACAGCTAAAGCAAGCCCTCCTGAAAAAAGCGCCTGCAGAGGTCCTCGTGGAGATCATCATTCATTGCACAGGCAGGTGCTCAGGTGTGTAGCAGTACACTGATTCAGAACTTAGTCAGACTCATACTTTCTAATGTAGGATCCATCCTGCCATTTCCTGAAGTGGCCTCAACACAAGCCACAACGACCATTCTACGTACGTAGATGTCACAAAATCGACAAGTATGTGCCTACGGGTTTTTACGCATTTTTCCGTAAAATCCTACGGGTTTTTACGGCCTTTCTACGGATAAATACGGCCTTTCTACACCTACGGGTTTGGGGGTTTGAGGGCCTACGTAGGAATTACGAAAAAACTACGTAGGTCTACGTAGTTTCTACGTAGTTCGGGTTGTTCTTTGGGTATTCTATGAAAACCACCATAAATTTACGTATATTATGTATTACCCAGGAAAAGCAGGCCTTTTTAATAATGTAAAGAAAGACTGTAGCTAAAACCAGAACCCAAACCGGCCCACCCTGTTGCCTTCTACAACACCTAAGCGGGGACCTAGCCACCTAGTCAGTGTTCCTCCCGAGAACCCCAGCCCCGAGACATGCTTTATCAGATGCAAGGATGCCCCAGCCACTGCGTGTGCACAGACACACACTAAGCAAATGAATTTCAGCCAGGCAGTCAGCAAAAGGGCCCATGTTCTGTCCATACAGAAGCAACATAACTGGAGTTGGCATTGCAGATTATGCAAGATCGACTCATTGAAGACAGCCAGCTCATAGACAAGTAGGAAACAAGCCTCGCCAAACCTCTGGTAGATTCAACGAGTGATTTCCTCTAAGGTACTGAAGAACTGAAACCATGCTAGCATCTTCCCACAGGTCACTCCACGGCATTCCTTCGAAGACCTGGGGCGCACCGACATTCTGAAACCGTTGGTACGTAGGCTTGCCGAAGGGCTTCTTGGTCAGCTTGCAGTACAGCCTTGTCATTTGAAGCCCGAACTTGACCGGGTATTGCCTCAGTGATCCATCATAGAACCATAGAATCCCACATGTTACCAAGGATCATATGCATGGCCTGCTAGACAACATCACTCCTAATAACCTAGTACCATCCCAAAACTTGTCAGGATCTTGATTAATGGCGGGCCATTTACTCACCCAAGAGCAGTACACTGCGAGAGGGGTGCCACATTCAGGGCGACATAGATCTATGTTATCATACAGATGACAAGAACTTTGGTTTCAGGTTCAAGTACTGACAGGTCGTGTGTGTTGTTGCTAGTGTTTTGCTTGTTGTGTATGCTTCCGGTTTGGGGTCTTTGCTATGAACCTAGGTAGTAGTCAACTCAGGAAGGAAGAACAGCCCTTCATACAGATTGTCCACTGAGGGTCTCGCTGTGTAGCAGAAAGGGCACCTGTGCCCACATATCTCACCCTCCCCTTCTTGTCGACATACTTGCGAGATGTTCGTGGCTGCGAAAGACCCCTTCGTTTCAAGTCCCGAGCGAAACTGCTCCTGCAGAACTTGCCTTTGGTGAGGGAGCCGATGCAGGGGCTATTGCTGTAGCCCACATGCTGCTTCGGGGTGGTAGCTCCATAGTGACCCATGAACCATGTAGTGCTGTAAACCTTAGATGAACAACAACAGCTGAAAGCAGCAAGTGGTCTGTGCAAAGGATTGAGATCAATGTGAACAGCTGCTTGCAGAAAGTGCCCCAGTACTGTGCATGCCAGAAGACTTTCCCACAGGCCCTGAACAGCCATCTGATCCTTGGATGCCATTTGAGAAGTGAGCTCGCCGGCTGCTCGATAAACCAACAGCCCCCAAGGGCCGTGATCATCACGGCGAGTAGAGCAACCCTTAGTTGGGCGGACACCCGGAAGGTCATGTAATGACAACACACATCCTAGATATGGAAGGGCATGCATACAAGCAAGTCACCTAGTAGGTACATGTTCTAAATTACATATCTATATATATATATGTATATGTGTGAGTGTACATGCATTGTAACACACACACACACTTATGCATGTACATGCAACTGCGACACAAGCCAAAATATGCAATAATCATTAAGCTCACATGCCGGGCCCTATGAGCCTCACAAACACTCACAAACAAAAGAACCATGCATAACATCAGTTTATGCAAACAATTTTACAGTAGGACCACTACTAGTAGCAGTGGTAGCAATAGTGATCGTAGTAGTAATAATAGTAGTAGTAGCAGCAGCAGTAGTAGTAGTAGTAGTCATAGTCGTAATAGTAGTAGCAGGAGTAGTAGTAGTA